CCTTCTTTTGGCTTTTCCACAGTCTTCTCACAGATAGCATCAATTTTATTTCTGTGTATTCCATCTGGTGTATTTCATGTGTATAGTCATCTTTTATGTTGTTTAAAAAAGGTACTTGCAATGGATAAGTCATTGGTCTTACAAAATTCTTTCATGGGTCTCCAGCATCATTTATATCAGCAAGAGCATATTTTCCAACAACTGATCCTCCCTCTTTGTTCCCAACCTTTGCATTTCAATCACCAGTAATCATAAGTACATCTTGACTGCATGTTTGATCAATTTCAGATTGAAGAAATTGATTTAATCCTCACTTGCTTTAGTGGTTGGTGCGTAAATCTGAATAATAGTTGTATTAACTAGTCTTCCTTGTTGTTGTTGTTGTTGTTAAGTGCTGTTGAGTTGGTTCTGACTGAAAGTGACCCTTTACAGGGTTTCTAAGGAGAGGCTGGTGGATTTGAACTGCCGACCTTGTGGTTGAAACCAACTTTGAGGCCCAGTGTTTTATCCCACTGCACCATACCAGGACTTGGGTCTTCCTGGGAGGTGTTATGAATATTATCCTATCACACAGACAGCATTGTACTTCAAGATAAATCTTGAAATGTTCTTGTTGATGATAAATGCAATGCCATTTCTCTTCAATTTGTCATCCTGGCATAGTAAGCCCTGTGATTGTCATATTCAGAATGGCCAATACCAGTTCATTCAGCTCACTAATGCCTAGGATATTGATGTTGATGTGTTCCATTTCGTTTTTAAGAACTTCCAATTGTCCTAGATTGATACTTCATGCATTCCATGTTCAAATTATTAATTTATGTTAACAGCTATTTTATTTTGAGTTGTGCCCCATCAGCAAAGGAAGATTCTGAAAGTTTTCCTCCATTCACGTAATTATGGTCAACTCTATAAGGAGGCAGCTAGTCCCCAGTTGAATTTTGAGTGCCTTCCAACCTGAGGGGCTCATTTTTCAATAGTATATCTGACAGTATTCTGGTGCTCTTCATCATCTTTCAATATTTAATACTGTGATGCTGACAGTGTCCCACTGCTATTCATAAGGTTTTCAGTTACTAAATATTTAGAAATGGTCTGTCTCTCCTTCATCTGAAACCTAGCCACCCTAGGTAACCTGGCTGTTATTTAAAATATCTGTGGCATTGCTTCCAGAATCACAGCAACATGCAAGCCACCACCATATGACAAACTGACAGATGAGTGGTGGCGGAAAGGGTTAGAGAGATGAAAACACCATCTTCCGAAGCGTGTAGACCTAGATGGAAGATATGCCAGAAAACAATACATTTTGATTTTTGTGTTTATTAAAGTTTTCTGTAATTTTGTAGCAATACTCTTTGATTTACCCTCATACTTTGGCAGTTATGTACTGATGTATTTTGGCAGTTGTGTAATTTGTGATTTGCTGTGATCATCTTCTGATTTCTCATAAGACCAATTTCTGTGAATCTAAGCCATGCAGTTAAAACGAGGAGTGAGTGTATATGTGTTTGTACTGATTTAACACTTTTGTCTGATTGTAATTATGGATATTTTTGAGTTTATATTTTATGCTATTTGTTTTACCTAGGCTAAGTAGCTTTATAGTCTCATTTCTTACCTTATTTTTAATTGATTGCTATATTTATCATTCTTTGAAATTTTGAGCATATATATGGGGATTTCATGAAGTTTATGTAAAAATGGAATTAAAAGATAGACAATTTTTCTATGAACTTTATGAAGTCCCCTTGTATGCTACCACTATATTTGTTATAGAAGTCATAAACATTTTAACTTACAAAAAATCTAAAATTATCCATTATTCAATATTAATGCCATTGCCCCAGAAAATATCTTGGAATACTTTATATCAGCTTCTCCAATGTAGTTACCATATCATCATAATTTAAAGTTAACTAGTATTTTAAAACTACTGCTGCCGCCGCTGTGTGTACTTAAGTTAGTTCCGACTCATAGCAGCTCTGTATAGGGTTTCCGGGGCTGTAAATTTTTACAGGAGCAGAAAGCCTCATCTTTCTCTCACAGAGCACCTGGACTTTGTGGTTAACAACCCAATGCATAACCCACTACACTACCAGGGCTCTTTGTTAAAATACTACTTCAAATCATTATTAATATTCTGTTAACCAGTAATTATTTATTTAAATGAATCTATATATTTAGTACTTTGTGTTTTTTTTTCCTTTTTGAAAATCACTCCTTTTCAGAATCTTTTTTCTTCTGCCTTAGGACAAATTTTCAAATTCCTTAAGTAAGGGTATTCATCTTACCTAAAGTCTCCTAGGAGTTTGTGAAGAACAGGTTTATTTCTGGTACAGACTACTCTGAGGCAATAGTCTTTTTTGGGTCTCAGTTTTAGAGTAAAAATTGTTTTTGTAGACTGACAGTTTTTGAAAAGGTTCTGGACTTTGCCTCTTGACTCTGTTTCTGCAACACCTTAAAACCCAAAACTCATGTGTAACACATGCCTCAATGACAAAAGCAACTTCATTGCTCAAATTACCTCTCTAGGATTCCAAGTTTTAACTTGGCTGCTCTTTACTGTCTTGTGAACAGCTCTTGACTCTTTTAAGAAGGTTTAAAAAATATATATACTCAATCCAAATTGTATTTTCAGTGGAATTGTTAGTGGTGTAACCTAACCTGCCATATTCATGGTAACAGAAGTCTCTTAGAGTAATCTTGAAGGAGACAGAGGCCTAGTACAAAGGAGTACATCATTCTTTACTCTTCTTTCTGTTTTCACCCTCATTTTGCATATTTTAGAGCTTTTCAACTCTTTCTGAGTTTTTGGGCAATTTACTTAACCTCTCTATTAATCAGTTTCCTTATTTACATTGGATAAAAGGATAGAATACTATGGGATTATCTGGGGTTTAAATTAATTAATACGTATAAAGTACTTAGAATAATACCTCACCGATGGTAAGTGCTTAATAAGTGTATCCATTATTATTGCCTCCAATAGTAGCAGAGACTTTGAGGTAGAGAAGAACTCTGCAAGGTCAAGGAATAGCAAGAAAGAGAGTGTGCCTGGCATGTAATAAACAAGGGGAAAGAACAGGGAACAGACACATAAGAGACAGGTCACAATGGGTCTATGGGCCACAGACGGGAGTTTTGATTTCACCCTAAATGCTGTGGAAAGCCAGGGATGAGATGATTTGGTTCATGTCTTTAGCACATCACTCAGGCAGCTGAGAATGAATTATACATGTTGGTAAGAGTAAAAGCAGGGCGATTATGTTAGAAGGTAACTTACTGCAAAGGATCCCTGGTGGTGTGGTAGTTAAAATGCTCAGTTGCTAACCAACAGATGAGTGATTAGAATCCACCACCATTGCTCTGTGGGAGAAAGATATGGCCATCTGCTTCTGTAAAGATTTGCAGTCTTGGAAACCCTACAGTGTAGGTTTATAAGTCTGAATCTCCTTAATGGCAATGAATTTGATGGGGTTTGTTTTGCTTGGGAAGAGTGTAACAGTCGAAGAAAGATGGTGGCTACTGAGATTATAGTGGTGACTGTCCAGATGCTGAGGAATGGTGTGATCCAAGATATGGCCTGGATGTGGAGTCCACAGAATTTGCTGATAGATTCACAGTTCTATGAAGCACATTCCCTGGCAGAAGCAGTACAGGGACTAGTCAGACTTATAATTAGCACTACTTCCTGGAGCCCTGCTGGTGCTGTGAGTAAACACGTACTTGCTAACTAAGGTCCACAGTTTGAGCCTATCGGGTGTTCCATGGGAGAAAGATGTGACTGTCGGCTTCCACAAAGATGACAGCCTTGGAGACCATACAGGGCAGTTCTACTCTGTTCTCTAAGTTCACTATGAGTTGGTATCAACTTGACAGCAATGGGTAGCGGTCCTTATGGATTTAGCAAAGATTTCCCTCACCTACTAATGCAAGGTTGGCGGTTCAAGCTCACTAACTGCTCCTTGGAAACCCTATACAGGGTCACTATGGGTTGGAGTCAACTTGATGGCACTTAACAACAACAATTACTATTGAATTGGAACCTAACATTCATGCCTGGTTTCTACTTGAAAAAATAGCCTCTTGTCACACGCTTTAACATGAGGTTTAACTGACGTCTTACTCATATCCACCACACCACACCCATTTGAGAAAAAACAAACTGGTTTATCCCACAAAAATGTGTACTGATATCATTTTGCTTTGTGGTTCTCTGCAGTTTGGTTAGTTCTGTGACCCCACCATGTTTAGTTGTCCTTCAAGAGATAAAATTGTCTTGGCTACTTTATGCTTATCCAGTGGTATGGATGATACTTTAGTGGTTGGCTGGAGTTTTTGTGTATATTTGGGGTTTATGATGGAATAAACATTATTATATTCAGACTAAAAGTGAATCCAGAAATTTATTTTTGTCCATTCAGCCTCAACTAACCTTAGTGTGTTTCATCAAAATGACAAATGGTCTTGACTTTATGAGGTGATCTAAAGATTAAAGTCAGCCCTGGATGCCTTGCATTCAAATGGAAATTTTATTTTGATTTTTTTGGGAAACAGAGTTAAATATAGAGTGCTCTGTTCTCATGGAGAAAGCTTTCTTTTGTTCCCTGCTTGTCTGCTTTTAACGCTTCAGTATTTGTTCTTTGTGTCACCTTAGCATGTCCATCTCCTCCTTGAAAACAAACATGTGACCCAGTCTTTATCTGGAACACCCATCATGCATTTTTCTTTTCTCTCTCTCCAAAGCCCCACCCCCCAAACCTTTAATTTTTATAATTCAGGGTTTGCTAAAAGGAAGCAAAGTTCACTTCTATTCTAAACCACCTTGTCCCAATTTTCAATATCTCTTGTCCAGCTAACGTCTAATTGTGGCATTTGTTTACTCGGCTTACTTGTATGAGAGCCTGTGGAACTTTGGAGATGCTCACTTGAATTTTTTGCATTATTTTGTGCTTCTCTGTAATTGACGTCTTTTTTTTTTTTTTTTTGTCTTTCAGAATACCAAGCTGCTATTTTACACTTAAAGAGGGAACACAAAGAAGAGATCGAAAACCTGCAGGTATATATCTTTGATTTTACATATCTGACAGTTTTCTCTGTGTTGTAGTGGTGGTGGTGTTGTTGTTATGTGCCACGGAGTCGGTTCCAACTCATAGCGACCCTGTAGGGGTTTCCGAGGCTGTAAATTTTTACGGGAGCAGAAAGCCTCATCTTTCTCCTGCAGAACAGCTGGTAGTTTCGAACTGTTGACCTTGTGGCTCGCAGCCCAATTCGTAACCGCTACGCTACCAGAGCTCCTTTGTGTTGTAGTGCATATACCCCTTTTGTTGAAGTTTTGAACTAGACAGTATCTGCAGCTTGTGCACCTGCTTGGGGACACTGGCTGTGTCCTGGGGTTGAAAGCCCTCGACTGTGTTTTTAATAATTTCAATTCCTATTTTGAAAAATTTCACAAATGTATATTTTTTTTGATTGGGGAAATGATTTGATTGGGGAAAAAAAGAGTTTTATTTTTAAAACAGATAAGGAAAAAATAGAGTACTTAGACTTTGCTGTTTTTATGAAATTGTTGTAAAGTTCTTTTCCTAGGCACAGTGTAAATTATTTGGTTTATCTTACTCCTGTTCATGCCTTCACGTCTGTTAGTGTATCCTTGCAATTTGATACCATAAAAATTGAGGCTCATAAAGAAAGGGTCCAAGTGAGCGGACAAATTATGCTGAGCCATTCAGTGACCCCAGGGTGTGTCTGGAAATTACCTACTTGACCCTCCTTTGTGAAATCCAGAAACAGTGAAGGACCATTCCCTTGATCTGCCATCTAATTGTCATGCCCTTATGTTTGGGATTTGCATGCAGTGCCTGTGACAAGAACTTTAGTCTAAACTTTAAATTAGCTGACACTTAGAATCTGACACGGAGTCTAGTTTACTGATGGTAGGGTGACCTCATGCTTCAGGAAAGGGTAATTACAACATATATGTAAATCTTCTTGATTATTTAGCACTACCTCTTAACAACAACAACAACAACAACAACATTTCTTACTAATTTAATGATTTGGTGGATCAAATATTCTGCTTATCATAAAGTGATACTGCATTTTTGTTTTTATTTTAACTGTAACAGTTTAACTTGTAGGAGGGCCTGTAGATTTTGGAGATGTTCAGCATGTTGAATTATATATGAAGTCATTACAGTAGTGTAGCATCATGTATGGATTCAAGTTATACCCACCCAGCTTGGTTTAAGTAGTTAGAGAATGTGGGTGTTGAGTGCCTTTCAGTCAGATCTAACCTGTATAGGGTTTCCAAGAAGCAGCTAGTGGGTTTGAACCAGTGCCGACCTTTCTGTTAGCAGCCCAGTTCTTATCCTACAGCAGCACACCATGACTCCTAGAGAGAGTGATTCCACCTCAAAACAAAACAAAAAAAGTGGAAAAGTACTTCTGTGTCCTGAGAGAAGAAGAGTGGGAGAGGACCTTCTTCTGTTGTATAAAGGCTTCTCTTGCTTTGTCTTTGCTCTCTCAGGACTGAATTGATGGGGAATACATTAAGAAACATTTGTTTTTAAGAGGATAGTTATAGAAGTGATTATGTAACAGCTAATGTGTAAGACTTGGCCATAGCTTTCTCCAAGTTGTAGATAAGCCCCATGGGGACTTTGACAGCTCAATAATATACCCAGTAACCACAGGTTCACAGCAATGTGGGAGTTTTTTACTATGTGCAAGATAGACATTGTTCTAAGGAGCTCTGGTAGCATAGTGGTTACAAATTGGGCTGTGAACCTTAAGGTCAGCAGTTTGAAACTACCAGCTGCTCCACGGCAGAAAGATGAGGCTTTCTGCTCCCATAAAGATTTATAGCCTTGGAAACCCTGTACAGGGTCACTATGAGTCAGAACCTACTCCACGGCACATAACCACCACCAACAGACATTGTTCTATCATTTTACATGTCAAACTAAGAAAAGATTGGGGATAGGAAAACAAAGAGGAAGTGGATCAAATTTAGAATGTGGATCACACTAAGGTATCATTGCCATTATTAAAGACAAAAGTGCTCCTAATTGTACCTTTTTTTTTTTTTTTTTTACTTTAAGCCACTCCAAAATAATGATTTACTTTAAAGATTTATCTGCTTTTTTTTTTTTTTTTTATGATTCCAGTAAAGTTTTAAAATGTGGGATTGTTTGTTTTTTGTTTCCCCCACCCCCCATGCTTATGATTGATACTTAATTGCTAAACCTCATGCCATGTTGGGGTGGATGGATGCAAAATCCATGTGGACACCATGTCTAACTTCTCCTGGCTTCACAAAGGGAAAAGAGAATCAAACTCAAAAATCATCCCAAGGCCAATTCCTATGAAGTGGAGCTCAGACAAGTCTCCACCCTACAACCTTCTTTATCTTGTTCTAATACCAACCATCCCTCTCAGGCATCCTTCACGCTTGTCTTTGGCCTTTCAGCCACATGGCCCCTTGGCCTCTGCCCTGCTTGCTCATGTGTTACAAAGCTCTTTTAGTCAGCCTGTTAATGCCCAAGGGGCACATTCTACAAGCCAGTCTCCTGCCTGTAGGCTCTCAGCTTTACTCAGTACGTGAGACTAGAGTCCTAAGCAGCTCTTTTTCTCCATGTCACCACCTCTGCCATCACCTCCGCTGTGGCTGCTTTTCTGGGTAGGGATTCCACACTCCACTCCTGGTCTTCCTTCCTGATGGTCCTGGGATCATCCATTCCTGCTTTTGAGGTAGCTCTTTTTATTTATTTATTTTACTTTTTATTGGGAATTGAGTGAAGGTTTACAGACAAGACCATCAGTTTTACATTCAACAAACAATACATTTTGTTTCATCTCAATGATTGCAATCCTGTCCATGTAACAACAGTTATCCCACATCCTCCCTGTGGCTCTTATTCCCTTTCCACCATACTTCCATTCCCTTCTCGCCATTGTCCTTAGGTACATGCTACCCTATTGATTCTGAATGATTAACCCACTGCTCTTGGGAAACCCTATACAAGACCCCCCCCCCATACAAGACCCACCTCCCCATATCTCTACTACTTCTTGGCTGAAAGAAGATGTGTTCCTTTCCATACCTGAAGGGTGGTCAAGGAACACAGTCTCAGGCTCCTCCAATTTCTTTCTGATCAGTAAACCCAGTCTTTTTTTTTTTAATAATTTTGAGTTTTGTTCCACACATTATGGTACTCTATCCAGGACCTTCTGTTGTGATCCTGTTCAGGACAGCTAGTAGTGGTAGCTGGGAACCATCTACTTCTTTGGTCTCAGCATCTTGGAGACTGATGTTCACATGTTCCATTGGCCTGTTGGACACATTGATTCTAGTCATGTTCAATTCTCGTCCTTCTTCTTTTTCCACACCTGGAGAGACCTTAGAGGGGCATTCATGAGCCCATCCCAGGTATTACTCACCAAAGTAGGATGCAGGGCATCGTCTTTGTGGACTGTGTTGTGCCAATTGAGCTTGATGTCCCCTGAGACTATGGTCCTGAGCCCCAAGCTCAACTGCTCATTGCCTTAAGAAGTTTTCGTCATTATATGCTTATCTATATACATAGACATGCATACAAGCATATATACATACATACACATATACACACATTGTAGTCTTTTTCCCATAATCATTCAGCATGTGACTCTGTTCATGTATCTACCTGCAGGGTATTGTTGTTCCAAGGTTGTATATAGATCACCATTTACCTCTGTCCCCTGTAGCCCTTGTATACTTCACACCCCGCCAGTGTCTTCACCTGTCTTCATTATATTTCTGTCAGCCTCCCTCTCCTTGTATTTTGCCCTTCCCATTCTTGTATGGTGCCCTTCCGTCACCCAAGTTAACATGTGTCTACCCTGTAAGCAGTGAACTACTCTCCCTTCCCTCCCACCCCTGGAAACCATCAAAAAATGTTTTGTTTTTCTCTTTCAAACTCGTATATCTTTGTGGGATATAAAAATATATGTCTCACTCTTCCGCCCTTACTCATTCAGCATATGTTTTAAGCCTTGAATCTATGCCCAGAACGTTGTTGTTTTAGGCTTGTGTGTGTATCACTATTTACATCCCCTTTTGCCCATACATATCCTCCTGTGTCTTCAACTTTCTTCATTATCCTTCTGCCACCCTCCTCCTTCTTGTATATTGCCCTCCCGTCACCAGTGCTAACCTGTGTCGACCCTCCAGCCTGTGAATTATCCTTCCCTTCTTCTCACCTTTGGTAACTCTCAAAGATGTCTCTTTTAGTATGGAAACATTTTCTTAAGCTTTTGCAATAATTATCTCATATAATACTTGTCATTTTGTGATTGACTAATTTCATTCAGCATACTATCCCCCAGGTTCATCCCTTTGATGAGGTGTGTCACAGATTCATTATTATTCTTCAACGTTTCATAGTATTCCATTGTATGTATGTACCAACGTTTATCCATTTTTCCATGTTGGGCACTTACATTGTCTTCATCCTTTTCTTATTATGAATAGTACAGTGATGAACATCAGTGTGCATATATCTAATTATGTCCTGACTTGTATTTCTTGTGGATATATACCAAATACAGGAATTGCTGGGTCATAAGGTATTTACAGTTTTCTGAGGAATCACCATATCATTCTCCAGTGGTTGAATGAATTTATAGTCCCACCAGCAACGTAGGAGGGTCCCAGTCTGTCCACACCCTTGTCAGAATTTGTTGTTTTCAGTTTTTTTGAGCTTTGTTGTTACTGTTGGTATGAGATGATATCTCATTGTTGTTTGGATTTGTATCTCTATGTGGTACTGTGGGTTAATGCACTGGACTGCAAAATCGGTTTGAACTACAAGGTTGGCGATTCAAGCTCACCAGCCGCTCCTTGTAAACCCTATACAGGGTCGCTGTGGGTCGGAACTGACTCAGTGGCACTTAACAACAATGATAACAGTGATGCTGTGGGCTAATGCGCTGAACGGCAAAGTTAGTTTGAACCGCAAGGTCGGTCGTTGCTCTGAGTCGGAATTGACTCAACAACACTTAACAATATCAGCAATGGCT